GAGGCCAGACGTGCCTTGCCATTAGTTCATTGGGGTGAGTGGATAAGAATGAATCAATAACTCTATTTTAATCTTCAACTTTTATATAGAAATTAGTGAGTTTTAATAATTTAGCTTATAACTGTGGCTATTATAATTTGAACGCATGCTTGAATAAACATTCCCACAATTCCTATGTTAGCGTGACTTGTGCGAATACTACTATAAGTATTTCTATCTAGAACTCTATAATAAAGCTTCTTAGGGACTAGTCGAGTTATTTCATCATCTTTAAGAGAGCTTGTGGGATCTTTATTGGTCTTTGGGTGCTAACGAAACATGAACTAAAATTAGTATGTAATGTTGCCTAGTATAAGGCATGTAAAACCACTGAATGGCATTCATTAAAGATGGAGATGAAAATTAACCTTCTAGGGTGTCATTGATGTCTATTAATGATGTTTCTGTCTCAAAGTACACAATTTGATCACCATAGTCATATTCCATAATATGACTCCAAGTTGGGTGTCTTAAATTTGGTGGGTGGCTTTATATATGCCAATTCCTTGGAAAATACATTGGTCAATTCCAGCCCCTTCTTACTCACTTGGGCAAAGGGGAGGATTCTTCATCACTAGTGACTATGATCATCAAGAGGCATTGAAGTTAGCACCCTGGTGTTGGGTAATTTTTTTATAATTTATTACGTCAAAGGGTGCTTCAGGGGTACCGTCTCTTGGGCCATTTATCTATAGTAATTTATATGCATCTTGGATCATCTTTGTGATTCTCTCTTCCCTATCCATTAAATCATGGTGGATTGTGAAGATTTAGTTCTCCATTTTCATTGTTGACTCTTTATTTTATTACTCTTCATGTAATCCTTATCTTCTTGTCAGTGGCATCAATTTAAGTTCTTTGTACCTTAGAGGATGTTATATCTAAATTTATCCATTGGAGACTCCTCACTATACTAACAAGATAGTGAATGAGAGTGGATGATAAACTAATAGACCTTTGTGATATGTAAAAATAGTATGAAGTTAAAAATATACCTCATGACCTTGGTTTTTGGTAATATTTACACTCTGTCAAGTTCAAGGGTATTTTATGGGTGTTCTCCTTGAGGGCATTTCTCTAAACTCACCACTCTACATCTTAATCATTTTTGTGATTCTCTCTTCCATGCATCTTCATTAAATCATGGTGATTTATGAAGTTCTAGTTCACCAAGTTCATTGACGACTGTTATTTTATTGTTCTTTATGTAATGCATGTGTTCTTATCACTGACATCAATTTAAACTCATTGTACCCTATAGGATGTTATATATGAATTTATCCATGAGTGACACCTGACCCTACTAATAACATAAAATGAGGGAAATGAGAGTCAATGAGAAACTAAGAGATCTTTGTGAACTATAAAAAAAGTATAAAGTTTAAAATATATCTCATGATCCTTCTTTATAGGTTAAGCAAGATACAAGAAAGGTTACACCTAAAAATAATAATAATACATGATAAACAAGTAAAGATTGACACAAATATGTGGATTGGGCTAAAATGTGCACACATGTAATGACCAAGTTTATATTAATTAAAGATCCATGAATGAGTTGATTAAGAATTTAATTAATCCTAATTGAAACTTTAAAGATTATTTTTTTTATGTGGCATTGTGCTTGAAAGCGCAGTAGCACTAGTTCTCAGCATGGAGAAGTTTTGGTGTCCGAGCATGGTAGCGCTAGATCTAGCACTAAGGTGCTAAACTCATGGGTTTAGAGGATTTGGATCAAGCGTTACAACACTAGTACACTAAAATGATTTTTAAAATATCTAAAGTCACTATCTTTCACCCCCATTTTTCATTAACACCCCCCGGTGTGTGCGCGCATATGAAGAGGGAGAAAAGAGATAAAGCAGGGTTCACCCGATTGTTTTCAAACACTTCAGTTACAAAGCTTTTTTTTATTGTTGTAGATGACTTTTGTCCTATGTCTATATTCAATGAATTTGAATTCTATGATATTGTCTCTCCTAAATTTGAATAAAAAATATATTTTTTTTTAATTTAATAAGTTTTCACCATGATAAGTTTTGATATATGGTAGAAATGTTGCTATTTTGCAAGTACATATTATCATATTAAATTTTCACTAAATAATTTGGCATGCATGATTTTCTATTATAAAATGAGTTGGAAAAAGTCACACGTGAAATGAGTACAAACGCATTGAATTTGTTTAGGATTATTTGACATGTATAGTAATTTTATGTCAATTTAATAAGAATTTAATGAATAGGAAATGCATAATAAAGTGATCATTAACATGCATATATATATCTTTTCAAGAATGTGAAGTATAAGATATGCATAGTGGTTACATGTGTTTAATATGGCATATATCTTAACATGATAAGGATAAGACATGCGTACATGCTACATTGTTATTATAATTCATGTGTTATATTGTGCCCCATATGTCATCATTTATATTTGAGATAAATATTGAATATAATTTTAATGTTAATACCTAAGGTTGACCGGAGCAAAATATCTTGTACATAAGAGAGAAGCTGATGGGCTTTCCTAAGGGAGGTTATATTACATTAAATTTTATAGATTATGAGCTATTTATTGGGACCTTGATTAGGTCTTGTAATTGAGCATTTTCTTTGATCTTTTTCTTGGAGTTCAGCCTTAGCTCTTGTAATTGAGATTTCAACTTGATTTTAAGGATCCACATTATGTATTACATCTTTGCTTATGCTAATACTATAATCTTATTTCCCACTTTCATGACATGCTTCCCATTGACAAGCCTCCTCTAAGAACTAAGTATATGTAATAAGAAGTAAAAATAATATGTTGCATCTAATTGAGCTATCCAAAATATCATATCATTTTCAACTAAATATGTTTCAAGGACTAGTAAATCAAATTTATACCTTCCATTTTCTTGCTCTTTTTTTTTTTTAACACAAATCCATATTCACAATTCATCTTGTTTAGTTCTATATAATCATGTAATATAAAATACCGCTAACAATGATATCTCTATATCAAATAATCTGGATAAGACTATTCCATTCTTAATATTTATGTACCATAATAATAACATTTAGTTATGTATTCCTACTATAATTAACTATTATGGACTACTTTAGATTAATATTCTTAATTTATTCCTCTTGTATATAATTACATCTTGAGATAGGATATGAAATGAGCATATACGTGAAAAGATTGGAGTAGATCCAGTAGAAGATAAGATTAGAGATAGTCACCTTAGATGGTTTGGTCACATAAAACGGCGGCCTCCCGATGACCCGATTAGAAGAGTAGAGGTATTAGATTTGACTTATGTTAAGAAAGGTAGAGGCAGACCTAAAAAGACTTGGATATAAAATATTAGGAATGGCCTTTCTTTATTAGATTTAAACGGGAATTTGACTTTTAATATGACACAATGAAAAAAAAAGAATTCATGTAGCCGACCCCACCTAGTGAGATAAAGGCTTGATGTTGTTGTTGCATATAATTACATCTTGAATTATGGTTACATAATTAATCATTGAAAAAATATGATAATAATTCATGCATGCTAAATCTTATCTTTAAATACTTAAATCAATAAAATATATGTTATAATAATTTACATTAGAGCACACACTCAAAAAATATTAAGTGGATTTTTCTTAAAAGCCCATAGTTAAGAATGCTTTTAATTGAGCATTTCTAAGATGAGTGAATTGGGAAGTTATACAAAAAAATGATAAAATTATGACATTTAGGCTTACATTTGAGACACGATTCTTATTGTTTCTTAAAGCAACTTTTTATTATAATTTTTTTTTTTACTAAGAAGTTTTAAGAAACAATAAGAAATTATTTCCAAACGAAACCCTTAGTATGTTAAGACATATTGGGTCAAATATGTTAAGTCCTTAAAGTGCATTATGATTGCAACTATCTAACTATAGAGGAAGTCTTCTACTCTACTTATGTGAAACTTGAATTTCTTAATTTGGTGAATTATTTTTTTGACCAAAGTTTTTCTACATATTTTGTTATTATCTTGCTAGTATTTTTTATTTTGTTTACATTTAGCAAAACAAGAATCCTTACCGCATTAAAAAAAATAAAAATAAAAATAAATAAAAAAAGAATCCTTACCGATTGAATAAATTGAAATTTTTTTTCTTGATTTAAATTGCTCAAAATTTTCAATAATTTCATTTAAATGACATTAAAATGTTTAAATGTTACTTCGAAAAAAATATAATTTTTTTTATAAAAATATTCACATAAAAATAAAAGAAATAATTATTATATATACTACATATTAATAGGTAATGTACAATCACATTGAGATTTGGAAAATTATTAGACATTAAGATCAAAATGATGTTAAGGTCTGTAGATTTTTTTGTCCTGTAATGTCTGGAACTTGGGATCCTCAGTAGATAATATTAATAACTTTTGAATTTTCACCTAAATTGCACCACAGGTGCGTTTGGGACAGCTTTTCAGAACTTTATATAATAAGAAAACTTCGCAATAAGATCTGTTAAGAGTGATAGTTGTAAGCTGGCAAAACTGAAATTTAAGTGACAGAGATTCAAAAGACTTAACTGAAAAATTAGAGAGGTAAACCTTTTATATCATAGAAGATTGTAAGAAAATTTAACGAGAAAATTTTTCAAAATTATTGTAGCTGCATAGAGCTTTCTCAAATTTAAGCCTTCGTTTGGGACAACTTTCATACTATTTTTTAAAATAACTTTTCAGTACAAAAATTTCAAATTCAAAAAATCTGTACTGAAAAACTGTTTTAAAAAACAAGAAGAAAATCGTTCCAAACAAAACCTAAGATTGAGAACCTTCCTGATTGTACCATTAATGGTGAGAAAAGTCGTCCCAAACGAAACCTAAGATTGAGAACTCTCACAACAAAGGCAGCTTATGTCCATTTCCTTGCAATCCAGATAGAGATTTGCAACAATTACCAATAAAACTGAAACGGAAAGGTTTAATATTTGGGGCCTTTTTATTTGAGCTTTGTAACAAAAAAATAGTTGCAATCTTATCATTACAGAAACATTATTGATTAGAGTTCAGAAGATTATGGGGTAGGATGGAGAAGTCTTGAAGATTCCTATAAAAACTCACAGAAAATGAGAGGAGAGATATCAGAGTCTGGATTGTGTACCTCCTGCAACAACAATTGTTTCTCCTGTGATATATGAGGAGTCATCAGATGCCAAGAATGCTGCAGCAGCAGCCATGTCTTCTGCCTTCCCCAACCTTTTAAGCAGCGTTTTCTCTTCGAGACTTTCTACCTTTCTTAACATAAGTCAAATCTAATACCTCTACTCTCCTAACTTGGTCATTGGAAGGCTGCCTTTTTATGTGACCAAACCATCTAAGGCGACTCTCTCTAATCTTATCTTCTACTGGAGCTACTCCAACCTTTTCACGTATATGCTCATTTCGTATCCTATCTCTAAGGGTAAAGCCACTCATCCACCTGAGCATCCTCATCTCTGTCACACTTAACTTAGTATTATGCTTCTCTTTTAATGGCCAACATTCAGCACCATAAAGCATTGCAGGCCTCACTACCATCTTATAGAATTTTTCCTAAGTTTGAGGGGTACTTTTCTATCACACAACAAACCCGATGCATTCCTCCACTTCAACCATCCAACTTGAATTCTGCTTATAATATCCCCATCTATTTCACTATCACACTGAACAATAGATCCAAGATATCTAAAACGTGTACTCTTATTAATGATTTGATTGCCCAAAGTCACAATCCCCTCACTAGGTCTATTACTACTAAAATTACACTCCATATATTCCATTTTAGATCTACTCAAGCAAAAACCTTTAGTCTCTAATGTTGACCTCCATAATTCAAGTTTACTTTCAACTCCCTCTCTAGTCTTATCAACAAGAAGAATATCATCAGCAAAAAACATACACCAAGGTACATCCTCTTGCAAATGTCTAGTGAGAACATTCATGACTAAAGTAAAAAGATATGGGCTTAAGGCTGATCCTTGATGTAACCCAACAGAAATAGGGAAATACTTGGTCAAACCACCTTGTGTTTGAACACAAGTAATAGCTTATGCATACATATCTTTAATGATTTGAATATAAGCATTATTAACTCCTTTTTTTTAATAAATATAATATTAAAAATAATTTAGAAATAATAAATAATTTAACTAGAATTTGTGCTTAAAATGATTAATATTAGGACGTCGAGAGTCAAGCATCGAAGCCGGGTATCAGGCATCGATGCCGTGTATCAGGCATCGAGAGAGATGAGAAGACAATGTTATTAAGAGTTGGGCATCGATGTTATGCAAATACGTATCGGGCGTCGATGTCAAAAGGGCGTCTGTCATCGATGTTGAGAATGTGTTGGTTGTTGATGTTAAGACGACGTCGGACAGAGATAACCTATAAAATTGTGGGTGTAGAAATTGCTCGTTGAGTATCAATATCAAGATAGTGTCAGACTTTGATGCTGAGATAGTTTTGAAATGTATATATTGTAACGATATTAGACGTCGATGCTGAGATGATATCAAACATTGTTGCGAAACCAAAGTCGCAACCCTCCAAAGAGAAATGAAAATGAAAATATTCAATGAATGGGGGTATTGAGTGCAAGCAAGGTTTAAAATTACGTAATAAGAGGCGCGCCTCAGCGCAATATGAGGCGTGCCTCTTCATTCGGCGTCGGCTTCCTTCCACATTGAGTTGTTGTTCGCCTATTGCTTGGAGTTATCTTCTACCGCGAGTTGGGTTGGAGTTATCTTCTACCGCGACCATTTTCCCTCTTTGTTAGGCGTCCGCTTCCTTGAACATTGAGAATGCAAGGTACATGCTCGGTACCACTCGGTACAACAATGTTTGGTACCACTAGGTACATGCCCGTTACCTAGCAGGTACATGCTCGATACCGAGCAGGTACATGTTCGATACCGCTCAATACATGCTCGGTACCACTCAGTACATGCTCGGCACCAAACAGGTATGTACTGAGTGGTACCGAGCGGTACATGCTCGATACCACTCGGTATCTTTCCATACCAACAACTTACAAACTTTAAAAACAAGCAGAACTTCAAAATTATTCTTACAATAAAAATTTGTTCCTTGACCCCGCGACCTAACCGGGCAGGTCAAACCCCGCCAGGGGGCAACGCCCGTTTAGACCCCCGGCAAACCGATATATTATTGTATTCATCATATTTAGTAATAGTTGTTAGTGTTAATATGCTTCTTCATGAGTGCATGCTTTGTATAATTTTTCTTAATGTATAATAAGTGAAGCATTATGTTTAGGGATTCGATATATTGCACTAATATATTCTTCTAATAAAGGAAGGTTAGAAGTAAGGATAAAGCTGCATCAGGTCATAGAAAAGATCCGGCATGGAAACATAGCACTCAGGTGGATGTAGGGGGAAGTGATAAAATATATATCTATCTAAAATATTATTATTGTGATAAAATTGTGAAGGGTGGTGTGACTAGGATGAAGGATCACCTTTCAGGATTTCACAAGAATGTTGCTCCAAAGTTCCTGATACTATAAGGGAGGAGATAAAGTCATACATGAATAAGTCTACCACATCAAAACATCTTGCACATAAGCAATTTGAGGACAAAGTTGATGTTGGCTCTTACTACGGGAATGAGCGCAGCGTTAGGAATTCATCTTCTTCGATGAAGCACATTTCATCTATGGGTGCTAGAGGGCCTATGGATCATTATATGGTGAACACATCAGAGGATAGACCTCCTACTATACAGAAGATGACCCCAGAAAATGCAAGGGAGGCACGGAGAAGAGTGTGTAAGGATATAGACAGATTCTTCTACGAAAATGCAATTCCATTTAATGTTGCAACATCACCTGCCTATTACAACATGATTCGTTCAGTTGGAGCATTTGGAAGAGGTTTCAAACCTCCTACCATGTATGATTTGAGAACATGAATTTTGCAGTTGAAAAGCACTGATAAAAGTATCGAAGAAATTAAGAGGACTTGTGTCCAAATAGGAGTAACAATTATGTCAGATGGGTGGTCTGATATTAAACATAAAAGTCTGATCAACATTCTCATTAATAATCCTCATGGTACTATGTTTTTAAGGTCAGTTGAATCATCTGACCAGGTCAAAGATGCTAAGTTCATATTTGGATTATTAGATAGTATTGTTGAGGAGGTTGAAGAATATTTGGTTGTACAAGTTGTGAAAGATAATGCAAGTGTTTACAAGGCTGCAGGTAACAAACTTATGGAGAAGAGAAAATATCTATACTGGACTACATGTGTTGCATATTGCATAGATCTAATTTTTGAGAAGCTTGGAGAGCTACCTTAATATAAGAATGTACTTACTAAAGCAAAAAAGAATAACTAAGTTTATTTAGAATCACTCTTGAGTTCTAGCTCTTATGAGGAAATTTTCAAAGAAAGAAATTTTAAGGCCAACAGCAACAAGATTTGCCACCGCTTACTTGACCTTAGAGAGCATACAGGATGCTAGATAACCTTTAGAGGCTATGTTCATATCTACACAGTGATTGAGTTGTGCTTGGACGAAGAAGGCTAAGGGAAAAGAGATTAGAAAGATTGTTTTAAATAATAGATTTTGGCAAACCACTAGACTTTTGGTTCAAGTTTTAAAGATGGTGGATGCTGAGAAGAAACCTGCAATGGGTTTTATCTACAATGAGATGGATGAAGCCAAAGAAATGATTGCCTCCAACTTAGGAGAAGAAGAGGATAACTTTAGGGAAATTTGGAATATTATTGATGATAGGTGGGAGCTACAACTTCACCGACACTTGCATGCAGCTGGTTATTACCTAAACCCTCGGTATTAATATGCAGAGAACAAGTCTACAAACCCTGAAATAAAGTTGGGATTGTATCATTGCATGGATCGGCTAATAAGTGATGCAACTGAAAAATAAAATGCTGACATGCAATTGGTACCTTTTAGGAATAAAGAATACTTCTTTGAATTACAACAAGCAAAGGATACAATTGTCAAATGATCTCCAGGTAATTTTATTTAATGTTTAAACATCTATTTAAAATTTATTTTTTTCACACTAATTAAACTCTCTTGTATAAATATTAGTTGAGTGGTGGATTCAATTTGGCAATGGGACTCCTGAATTGCAGTATTTTGCTGTGAAAATTTTGGGCTTGACATGCTCTTCATTTGGCTGTGAAAGAAATTGGAATACCTACAATCATGTACATACAAAGAGGAGAAATCACTTGTCCACATTGAGAATGAATTCATTGGTGTACATTATGTACAATAGGAAACTCATAGATAGGAATTTGAATAAAAAAAGATTAATGGATGATGAAAATCCTTTGCTTTACGAGGATGTGGCATCTAATAATGAGTGGTTTGTAGATGATAAAGTTGAAGTGATGCCGTCTGAATTACAAGATGAAGATTTAAATGTTGATTTCTTTGATAGTCTTAAAGCATCTACATCCACCACAACTCAAGAACAAATCAAAAAAAGGTATATATATATTATACTTTTCTTAGACTTTTATTAATGTATTACAATATTATTTATTTTGAGATTGTTCAAAAATATTTAGGGAATAGGAAGATAACTAATATTGAGGAAGGACCTGATTGGGAGACATTGGACTCTATAGGAGAGGAGGAATGGAAGAGAGCAGTACATCATAATAATGATTCAAATGAAGACCCACTTAGTGATGACAGTGTTGATGACTTATGAGTTCTTATGTAATATGTCATTGCTATTTATTTTTGGAATTATATGTTAATGAATATTGTAATTTGGGAAAGATGGAGTTTGAGTTGAACTATATTTCATGTTGTCTTATTATTGGGATATTTTGATTTAACTTCATATCTTGTGCATTTTAATGTTTTATATATTATTTGTTCATTAGTATATACAAAATTTATCATTTTATATTTACGCACTTTTTTTTATTTTGAGGCTTACCCCTCAAAATGCCTTGGGGCTTATGCCTCGCCTCACAAATTAAAAACGCCTTAATACCCGATTACGCAATTTTAAACATTGAGTGCAAGCGATTGATTTGATGTTGTGGATAGGAAATAAGAAAATTAGTTTTATATTTTAAATAAATAAAAAGTTTAAATACAAAAAATTCTATTTTTTAAAAAAACATAAAATATTTAAGACACGCGTGTCTAATTTGTATTTAATATTTTTTAATCGGACACATTTTCAACGTGTCTGACATGTGTCATACGCAAGTCAGACGCGTGTCGTGTCAGATACTGCACAACTTTTTTTGGAGAAGTGTTGGTGCATTATAGGCAGAAGATAGTCTACAACATTATTTGGTCACAAAAAAAACATTATATAGGATAACAAGTACAACATCTCCAAAATGTAGGGAGTAATCTATTGAAAAGCACGGAATAACACAAACTAACAAAAAAAATATCATAATCAAATGCAAGGATTGCATGGGTATTACATGAATTAAGCAAGAAAAAAAAAAGAAGACTACTTGAAATATATAATGAATTTTTAATGGAAAATAGTAAAGTTGGATAAATGATTATCCAGGAAAAGCAATTCTTAAGAAGAAATAAATTAAATAGTTAAATATGGAAGTTGTATGCAAGCGATGTGATCCAAATACTTACCAATGCTTCATCTCTTACAAGGAAATCTGCAAAGTTTGTTGGCACGAATCCTGGAGCTATACAGTTAACCCGTGTATCTGGACTCATCTCAGAAGCCAGGGCCTGCAAATATATGCAGGAAAGAAACATCAGTCAAAAGCTAAATACCAATGCCTACAGGTCCAGGATTAGAACCTGGTTTTTCAATCAATGCCTAATACTACCCAAATTGTGTAAGGGATCATTTGTTTGCCTGAACTTCAAAAAAAAAAAATTCTGTTTTCTTTTTTTTTGGTGAAAAGCCAATGACTTTTTTAGATTCAAAACTATTATTAAGGTTTAAACTCAAAGATTACCTTTAAAATCTTTCAAAAATATGAGTGAAAATAAATTCATTATTTAAAAAATACTTATTTTCTCACCAAAAGAAAATTCAAGATGGACATAAAATTAAAGATTAAGGGAATGTTTTGTTGGTTGAAAAAGGAATGTATTGTAAAAGAAATACTTTTGGTTGTTTGAATGTGTAAAATAAATGCAGGTGAATACATTTGGTTTGGTCTGAAGTAAAATGAATGTAGTATAAAGTCCAAAGATCACGTAAGCGGTTGGAGGCGGTGGGGGCGTCAGGTGGTAGCCAATGGTGACTGATGGCGAGTAGTAGTGGTGGTGTCTGGTGTCGAAGGGTGGCGATGATGGCTAGCGATTGATTGTGGCTGGCGGTGGTGGCCAGTAGTTGGAAGTAGCAACAATGACAGGTGGCAAGAGGTGGTGATTATGGCCGACGAGGGTGGCAGCAACTAGTGGAGGTGGTCGGTGGATATTGATAGGTGGTGGAGGTGGGTGGAGGCGGTGGTGGGTGTTGGTGGCTAGCAGGGCAAGAGAGGTTGTTTGTTGTGAAAACGTTTTTCGCTCAAACTTAGGCAAGTTTACTTTTATCTCAAAAATGAACTAAAAGGCTTTTACACTGCATTCTTTTTATTTTATTATGTATTCATTTTTCATCAAATCAAACAATAATATTTTTAAAACATATGTAAAAGGTTTACGTTACCACCACATTACTTCAAACCAAACAACCCCTAAGCTGAAAGAGACATGAAATTATTCTTATTAAATATAAATATTTTAGGATACCTATTAGAACCTGATCATAATAGCGGGTACATTCTTGTATTAAAAAGTTTCAAAAGGTGATAACCTAGATGTAAAATCCTTAAATGTTTTGATGTCATAAAAGTTAAGGATCCATTTTAATGGATTAAATGCAAGAAACATGGTGCAAAAGGGGCCAACAAGTAATCTAACAAAAATTTTTTTTAAAAAAAAAGTATCAGAAGCATAGACCTTCACACTCAATAACTTAGAAGCCAAGGCAATCAAGACAATGGCATTACCTCAGAAAGTGTAAGCTAAAAAATTTTCGAAGACCAATCAATAGACATTTTTTGTTTTAAAGTTTAATAGTTGTCATATTTTTTCAGCTAATGCTCTCATGTTTTTCAGTGATTAAGTTATTTATCATGCAACTAATTATAATGTGAATACTATTGCAAATCAATTAGTTCCTTCTTACACGAAGGAAATCTATATTAACTTAGATATCCAAATGACAGGTGCCTTATCTCAAATCCACGACGAGCATTTCATCACAATTGTAGATTTTCATGGCTATATGGAAACTTCAGCATAAATAATTAATGATAATAATATTTTTACAAATTTAGTGGCATATACTTAAGAAATGATTTTAAACTCCATAAATCTCTTCAAATTTCTCATAAATGTAATTATTTCATTTTCACAAAAAAAAAATAAATAAAAAAAAATCACTCCAAAGTGTCAAGGATTGAATATTCACGATAAATGCACAATTGTTCTATTGATGACCTGAATCTGGTTGTCAATTTGATGAAGCAAGGCGGCGGTTGTCTTCAAAGTAGTATGCATCATAAACCAAAGTACAACAACAACATCATCAAATATTTATCCCACAATGTGGGGTCGGTTACATGAATCTTTTCATTTCTTTTTTTCATTGTCCTGTTAAGAGTCAAATTCTCATTTAAATTTAATAAAAATATCATTTCTAATACTTTCTAACCAAGTCTTTCTAGGCCTACCTCTACCTTTCTTAATATAGATCAAATATAATACACCTACTAGCCTAACTGGATCATCAAAAAGCCAATGTTTTATGTGATCAAACCATCTAGGGAGACTCTCTGTAATCTTATCTGTCATTGAAGCTACTCCAACCTTTTCACATATATACTTGTTTCACTTTCTATCTCTAAGAGTGAAACCACTCATCCACCTAAGCATTTTGATCTCTTCAACACTTAAACTTAATTTTATGCTTATCTTTAATGATCAATATTTTACGTCATAAAGCATGGCAGGTCTCACCACCATCTTATAGAATTTCCTCTTAAGTTTGAGGGTTACTTTTCTATCACACCAACAAGTTTGATGCATTCCTCCACTTCAACCATCTAACTTCAATTCTACTAATAATATATCTATCTATTTCACCATCAATTTGAACTATAGACCCAAGATATCTAAAATGTATAGTCTTTTTAATGATTTGATCCCCTCACAAGATATATTACTACTAAAATTACACTTCATGTATTCTATTTTAGATCTACTCAAACGAAAACCTTTAGACTCTAAGGTTGACCTCCATAATTTAAGTTTACTTTTAACTCCCACTCTAGTCTTATCAACAAGAAGAACATTCTCAACAAAATGCATACACCAAGATAACCCTCTTACAAGTGTATAGCAAGAACATCGATGTCTAAAGCAAAAAGAAATGGGCTTAATGTTGATCTATGATATAATCCAACTGAAAAAGAAAAATACTCAGTCAAATCACCTTGTGTTGAACACAAGTAACAACTCTTACATATATATCCTTAATGATTTGAAATATAAGCATTATTAACTCTTGCTTTTCTATAACTCTCATAGCACTTCTCTTGGACTTTATCATATGCTTTCTCTAAATCAATAAGCATCATACGTAAATCCTCCTTATTCTCCCTATACTTCTCAATCAAAACTCTTAATAAATGTATAGCTTCCAATAATAGACCTACCCAGCATGAATCAAAAATGATTTCGAGAAAAAATAGCATCATGTTGTAACTTGTGCTCAATAACTCCCTCTCATAGTTTTAATGTATGACACATTACCTTAATTCCTTTATCATTTTCACACTCTTGTGGATCACCTTTCTTTTATAAATAGGAATCAACACACTCCTTCACTCTTTTGACATCTTTTAGTCTTCAAAATAATATTGAAAATTTTCGCAAGCTAAGAAATTCCTTCATCTTAAGCATTTCTATACACCTCTATTGAAATATCATTAGGTCAACAATTTTTTCACACTTCATTTTCTTTAAAGTCTCTCTAACTTCGGTTTACTAAAATGAAAACAACAACATCAAGCATTTGTCCCACTAAGTGAGGTCAGCTACATGAATCATTTTTCTTCATTATGTCCTATAAAAAGTCAAATTCTCATTTAAATCTAATAAAGAAAAATCATCTTTAATATTTTCTAACCAAGTACTTTTAGGTCTATGTCTACCTTTCTTAACATAAGTCAAATCTAATACCTCCACTTTCCTAACTGGGTCATAAGAAGGTTGCCGTTTTATGTGACTAAACCATCTAAGGTGACTCTCTCTAATCTTACTTCCACTGGAGCTACTCCAACCTTTTCACGTATATGCTCATTTCGTATCCTATCTCTAAGAGTAAAGACACTCATCCACCTAAGCATCCTCATCTCTGCAACACTTAACTTATATTATACTTCTCTTTTAATGGCTAATATTCGACACCATAAAGCATTGCAGGTCTCACCACCATCTTATAGAATTTTCCCTTAAGTTTGAGGGGGACTTTTCTATCACACAACAAGCCCGATGCATCCCTCCACTTCAACCATCCAACTTGAATTCTGCTGGTAATATCCCCATCTATTTTACTATCACTTTGAAAAATAGATCCAAAATATCTAAAACATGCACTCTTATTAATGACTTCATCGCTCACAGTCACAATCCCCTCACTAGGTCTATTACTACTAAAATTACTCTCTAAATATTCAATTTTATATCTACTCAAGTGAAAACCTTTAGACTCTAAGGTTGAAATCCATAATTCATCAACAAAAACCATACACTAAGGTACATCCTCTTGCAAATGTCTAGTGAGAACCTTTAGACTCTAAGGTTGACCTCCATAATTCATCAATGAAAAACATACACTAAGGTGTATTCTCTTGCAAATGTCTAGTGAGAACATCCATGACTAATGAAAAAAGATATAGGCTTAAAGATGATCCTTGAAGTAATCCAACAGAAATAAGAAAATACTTGGTCAAAGCACCTTGTGTTTGAACACAAATAATAGCTCATGCATATATATCTTTAATGATTTGAATATAAACGTTATTAACTCCTTTCTTTTCAAGAACTCTCCATAACACTTCTCTTGGAACTTTATCACTCTATTTAAAATTGCGCAATAACAGGCGCGCCTCACGCCTCTGCACAATTTGACCCAAAACCGCCTCGAGGCTTATGCAATTCCTCTCCTGGCTGAGGCGCGCCTCAGAGGCGCAATTGCGCAATTCTGGCAGAGGCATGTAGGGGTGTCAATTCGGGTCAGCGGGTCGGGTTCGGGTCGAACCCGAAACTGACCCAGCACTGTTCGAGTCAACCCGAACCCGACCCGTTTTTAAAAACGGGTCAGGTTTCCGAACCCGAACCCGACCCGACACAAATGACCCGAAGTTGACCTAAAATTGCTAATTTTCGGGTCAAAATCGGGTCAATATTCGATTTTCGGGTCAAAATCAGTTCAATATTCAATTTTGGATTTTTGCTTTAGGAAACATGGTTAGAGGCAAAGAAAAGGCGAATATGTCATTACGGCGTGACCCTTCTTGGAAATATAGTATGCAAATTGACGTAGGAGGAGGCGAGAAGACGTATGTGTATTTAAAATGCAATTTTTGTGAGAAAGTGGTGAAGGGAAGAGTAACCCGCATGAAAGAACACTTATCATGCCTCATAAGAACGTAGCACCGTGTGCAAAA